CTGGGTTGCCTCCGCCCTTTGGCTATTGTGTCAGGTGATTTCTACTATAATACTCTCCTCATGTTTCCCAAAATTATTTATAATTTATGCCTCATTGTTAATAAAGATACGATGTAACTTCCCTTAAATAAAGATCTGAGATGGTTTTCCTTAAAAAAAAAACAAACCATGCTTTAGAATAATATAGACTTGAAAAACGGATTTCAAAAACAAGGTGGAAGATAAAATTAACATTTAAATGTCCCATAGAGCATTATTCGACTGGACATTAGATTTAGATTTGAGCTTCCCAGCAGCTAAAGTAAAAAGGACTATGTTGGTTCTTAGAATTCTAAAAGCACATGACATTTTTATTAGTAGAGTTAGTAAAGTTAGTTAGTAAAGTTAAATGATAACCAATTCATTGACTCTTGGAGAACTTATTTCTCTAACTATTTATGAAACGGAAATGAGTTTTATCTTAAACACCTCGGTGCATAGAGAGAAAACCAGAAAAATAAAAGTGATGAAAACGAAACTTGTCCAGCAAGTTGGTGAGAGACAATGAAAGAAACTGGCTCCTCCTGGGCCCGAAAGGCCCCCACGCTGCCCCGCACGTGCCACCCACTGCTGCTGCCTTCGCAGGCCGTGCCTCTGGGCCTGGCTCGTGCCTGTGTTGCAGAGGACGAGTCATCAACATTTGTTCTAACCCTGGGATCCTGTGCCTGACAGGCGAGGCCCTGGAAGCCAGGGTGGTGCAATGGGGGTAAATTTAAAGAATCAAGCACTTGGGGCAGCAGCCAGGGCCCATGCGGGGCATGCCACGGGAGAAGACATCGGTCTGAACCATGGCGTGCCCCCTCCCAGGCGGAGGGCCCCCGAGTGAGGCTGCAGCGGCTCCCCAGCATCGTGATGGAGCCGGGGCCCAGCCTGGGCACCAGCACATCCGACCCCGGAGAGAACCCGCGGCTATGGGGACCATGGTGGGGGGTGGGGGGCAGGAAGTGGGGGCTGGCTTTCCAGAAGTGTCTCCAAAACCCAAAGGAATGGCCAAAGCCCCAAGGGAAACCCCTGACTCTTCAGCCGCAAGGTGATGAGACGTCTTCACTTCAACCACCCCGGCAGGGCCTCGGGGACTTGACCCAACAGAGCAAATGGGGGGCAGCCGGGGCCAACGGGCCCTTGGCCGAGTGCCCCGGATCAGGCTGAGCGCAGGAGACCCGGTGCGCTGGTGGCTCCTCCAGGCCAGGACCCGGCACAGAAGCCAGCCTGGCGACTTCCCAGGGCAGTGGGCGTCAGGCTCCCGCTCCTAATAACCACCTTCTCTGGGCGAGTTACCTGCACGCAATTAATTAAGCAATTATCTGGGCTGGGTGGGAGCAGCAACCATCAAGTTGTCAAGATAGGCCGCGGGAGCGGAGCGTCTCCACTCCTCGGAGTGGAAAACATTCCTTTCTAATTTCTGAAGGCCACCTGGCTGGCGCGTTAAAGCGGCATCTGGTACTGCGGGGGGGAGCCCGGGGAGGCGAGCAGTCACCGCGTTTAAAACCTGCATCGCAGTCACAGGGGTCCCCCTCACGCAAACAATTATCAGTGTTACCGCTTCTCCCCTAGAAGTTGGCGGTATTCACACACTATGGCACATGAAATTGGAAGGGGATAGGGTGGTCCTCGGTTCAGGTCAAAGGTCAGAGGTGAGCGGGCGAGGATCCTAGTGTTTGCCAGCCCCCGGCTGCTGAACAGACTTGGAAGAGAACGTCCGTTCAGTGCACAGAGGACTCTGGGCGGGGAAGCAGGGCTCCAGGCAGAAGTGTGGCCAAGCCCGACTTGGCTGAAGGTGCGGAGACAAAAGGAGGGCGAGGGGGCGGATTTCGGCTGGGTCAAAGAGAGAACTTCCCACACTGTGAGGCGCTAGGCTATCCGAATTATTGAGAGATCAAGAAGCCCCCAGACCCCCGTCAACCTTCTCCGGCTCCCCCCATGCCAGAGTCGCAGCCGCTGGCACGCAGCATCACAGTCCTCCGATGGCTTGCTGGGCCCCTCTGCGGGTCCGTTCCTGCCGGTCCACGGTATGTGTGAACGGGTCAGCTCGGGCCAAAGACTGGGAGGGCTCAAACCATAGATACTTTTTCCTCACTGTTCTGGCACCTGAGAAGTCCAAGATCAAGGTGCTAGACAATTTGGTTCCTGGAGGACTCTTTTCTTGACTTGTAAACAAGGCCCATGTCTCTGCCGTGAGTGATTCCCGGGGATGGGCCCAGGAATGAGGGATTGTTGCTGCCACCCACGTCACCTAGGTGGGCCCAGCACAGCTAGGAGAGGGGACACACTATGCACACTCTCCTGAATATAGATCTGAATTGGCCCAGGGTGGGCCCCTCCCAGGGCAGGAGCAGCGGGGTCCTTGACCGAACCAGCAAGAGTTCTGCGGCTGAAGCCACGTCGTACAAAACCACTTAAAACTATTCTTACACACTCTTCCAGAGTTTCGCTGCCGCTTCTGTTTGTCCACACCAGGCTCTAATCAAAGGTGGTGTCTAATCGAATAAACTATGTCCTCTTCAACTGTACAGGGGTGGGCAAAAGTAGGTTCACAGTTGTTTGTATGGAAAATTATGTAATACAAAAAAATGATACAGGAATTAACTGTTTCACGAACTCATAACTGTAAACCTTTTGCCCAGCCCTGTATTTGTAATGACAGTGCTGTTTGCTGGGGACCTACTATGTAGAAGTTCTTGTGCTGAGTTTTGTGTAATCATCCCATCGCATCCTTACAATGAAGTGTGTGTAATCATTTTCACTTTGCGGTAGAGGGATGTCTGAGACATCCAGTAATGTGCCCAAGGCCACACAGTTCAAGACTGGCTCGTTCTGCATTTGAGTCTGCAGAACCCACAAGAATTTTTTTTTTTAAATATTTTATTTACTTTGAGAGAGAGAGAGAAGGGAGGAAGAAAGAGAGGGAGAGAAACATCAATGTGCAGGAGATACATTGATTAGTTGCCTCTTGCATGCCCCCAACTGGGCACCTGGCCCACAACCCAGGCCTGTGCCCTGACTGGGAATAGAACTGGTGGCCCTCTGGTCTGCAAGCCGGCGCTCCATTCACTGAGCCACACCAGCCAGGGCCCCAGTTTTTTAATGTTAAATTTAATATCTCCTCTAATCATGTCTCCAAAATGCAAATTGATCTTGTAAATTATTAGTGGTGGAATTTAGATATATCCTTTTTCATTTATCGTAAAATTCTTTCAATTTTGCTGTAAAACTTTTCATAAAAAATATTAGGAAAGGAAAAAATGCAGCATGACTTCCAGGTGTTTTCCCACCTGACTCAACTCGAGAACCTTGATGCACCTTACAAACGCTGGCTGACTCCTGAGTCCGAGCTGGAGGGCTGGGCAGGGGTCCCCAGCTCCGCTCTGAGGATGGAGGCAACCTGTGCTGTCGGCCCCGGCCGAGGCAAGACTCCCTTGGCCTCTCTGACGCTCGGGATCAGGTATGGCCCGGACTCGGCTTCCTCTTCCCACCTCTGCTTCTGCACCTGGCAGCTCCCTGGCTCAGGCCTCTCCGCTGCCAGCTCCTTCTTGCCAGCGCCCTCTTTCAGGAAGTTGATTGGCCAGCCAGGGCCACGTGATCACCCGAGAGCCAATCCAGAGCAGGCGGCTTGGCTCCGTCCACCAATCGCACCCCCCCACCCTAACACCTGTTGAGTGCGGGGCAGGGCCCTTTCCCAGAGGAGCCAGACTCTAGGTTCCCAGCAGCCCCACCGAGGCCTCAGGGAGACGGCGGCTTCCAGAAAACTCCCTGTCCGAAGACGTGGGCCCCAGACTTGCCCCCAGTCTGCAGGTGGGAAATCGGGACCCCATGTGGCCTCTGCATTGCATGCCCTTCACCCTGAGACTTCATTCCTGTGATCAGACCCCAGGCTCCCCACTTCCCTGCCAAGACCCCAGTCCACTGGCATCAAGAGCTGCTCAGATGTCCCCTGTGCTCTCCCGGTCCCTAGAACTGGTTCCCAGGAGTGCCCAATCTCTTTGATGGATCAGTGCCCAGAATGAGTGACCTCAACAACGCTCGCGATCCGCAAAGCTGGAGCAGTGCAGACTTACCTGACCAGAACAGCAGCCACACCAGAATCCCAGCGAGGCTTAAGTCCCACAGGGGTGAGGGCGGGGGCAGGGTGGCGAGACCTCGGCCAGCGCCAGGGCCCAGGATGCGAGATGAGCTGTGTCACCGGAGGAGAGAGGCTCTGAGCTGCGAACCGGGTGCCTGTGAAGGCGGGGTAAGCCCAGGGCAGGATCCAGAGCAGCTTGTGTGGGAACAAAGGGCGGGATGCTGAACCCCTGTGCATCCAAGGGGGCCGCGGGGATAGGGGCCTTTTGGTCCGATCCCCCACACTGAGGGCTGTGTTGGGACACCCCGTAAATCCAGCCCAGCCTGTCCACCTCCTGTCTGACATAGGGTGTCGCAGGGGAGTTTGAAGTCTGATAAATGGAATTTGAACTCTGTCTCTAAAATGTTGCCTGACTCTGGGTGGTTGAGTTCCCGCTCCGAGCCCCGTTTGCCCCTCCCCGACTTGAACGTGATCATGCCCACCTTGCCGGGCAGCCAGGCGGCCTATGCAAAGCGCCCCCTGCCAAGGGCACGGGGACTCGGTGCACCCTGGCGGTCTCCTCTAATGCTGGAGAGAATCGTTACTGCTCTCTAGCGATTTCTGGAGGGGACCGTCGCAGAAGCCAGAGCCATGTGGCTTGTGCAGCAGGGCCAGACATGGGTGAGGAGTTGGTCCTTGAGGCACGTGTCTTGGAGGGCGAGTGCGGTGCCAGAAGTGGTGTGAGCAGGACGCTTCCCCAGTGGGCATGCCAGGCCCCGCCCGGAGGCCCTGGGTAGCAGGTGGGTCTTTGAGGAGGCCCTAGGGGACATTCCCGGGCCCTTTGCTAGCAGGGATCCCCTTTTTTGAGAGACTCCCATGCACAGGCCATTACGAGAAGCACACAGCTGTTTATTTTCCCACCTGTAAGACAAGACGGATGCAGGGAGTGGGGAAAACTTTGCCGTTCTCCTGGTCAACAGACAGGCCACACACGACCTAACGGCCTGTGTCCTTACCAACGGGGATTTTCCATTTCAACAGACTGCAAGTCACCATCCAAGTGTTGTGTGGGCCATTGTGTCATGCCTGCTAGACCACACAGCTGTGTCCCTAGAATTGGCCCTACAAAACCTGACTGGCAAAGAAGGTACCAAATGTCAAATTTAATACAATCAGGGCAAAAACTAGTCTTTTCTTGGCACTGTGAGTAGTTGCCCCTGAAAAATGCCTGCCTTTCCTTGGTCCTTAGCAATGCCCAGCCCACAGGCAATGTAAAGGCAACAAAATGTGACCTTTGCATTAGAAAATGAGCAAGGCATTTGGCCAAACAGTCGTGTAATTGGACTCATTATTTCAGCACCAAAACACATCAGATAGACTTACTCATCTGGCCCAGCTTAATACATGTCAGCCTAAAACTACAATCAAATGCATAAAATCTAGAAGTGTCTGGGTGGCATAAACAGGGACAGGGCACAGTCGTTGGCAGCAATGACTTGGCCTGGAGGTGCAGACGTTGCTGTGCCATGGACTGGCCCTCAGAACCAGTACTCAGAGACAAAGATATGGACGTTGACGATGTTTCGGTGGGATACCACGCCCCTGACCACGTAGCTCATCTCCAGCTTCAGGACGGCGTGAGACGGGCCCACGATGGGCCGCACTTGGCGGACGACACCTGGGAGAGAGCAGAAGGCGTTTGGAAGTTAGTTCTTAGCATTGAGGCATAACAGCTTCCATGGTCCCTTCTCTGTCCCCTGCCTCCCGAGTGGGACCTGCCCCAGTCATGGGGGGGAAGGTGTGCTGGAAAGGCTCACCAGCCGGCTCTCTGGTAGGACCAGAGGACAACTTCTGTGGCTGGGCCCAGGCTCCCAACATGAAGTCACTGCAGGTGGCCTCCCGCATGCCTGCCCGATGCTCCCCGAGAGCCAGCTGGGAACCTGCGGCTCTGCACCGACCATTTGTGGTACGCGCTTGCGGTTGCCAGGCCGGCTCCCCTAAACAGCCGACCGCAGATTAAGGACGTGTGCACTGGGCGGGCAGTGAAGCCTCGGGGAGACTGCAGGGTCACGGAGGCCCTGGGCCCCGCAGCTGGCGCCGACCGGGACCACCACCGTTCACGCTCAGGGGCGAGTCTGGGTGCGCTGTGCCCCCTTCCCCCCTGGGCTTATGTTTCAGAAATGAAAGGCCCAGCAGCCTGGGTGTGATTCCAGGCTCTTCTAAGCAAACCAGGGCTTCCGGGCTGATGGAGAGGTAGGCGCAGGCTTTCGTGGGGTGCCAGCACCCCCTGCCCCTGCTTGGCAATGACACACCACAGCTTTGTCCCGTGCGAACGCCCAAGGACACGTTCAGCTTTCGGCTGGAGACGCAGGCTTGTCACCACCCTTGGTCTGCCAGCGGCTCTGATGACCGGGCCCCTTCCACCCGCCCCGCCCCAGGCAGTCGGGGCCACGGTCAGGATGGGCTCCCCACAGCCTCTCGGGAGGCACAACCCCGTGCCCCATCAGCATCGCCTCCTCTCCCCAGGTCTGAGGCCGACGGCGATGCCCACTCCCCTCAGTGGCCTCTGTTACCTGCTGACTTCACACGTCTCAGGGGCAGGAAAGGGCATTCACATGACTCGGGGGCTGGAACTTGAAGGAGGGGAGGGGCCGGGCAAGCGGAGACTGATTTCAGGGCAGAGAAGTGGTGCAGGGGGCAGGGGATCCCCCGCAACCGGTTACACGCTCATTTCTGTGTTGCTATATTTACCATAGCATGTAATTACTGTGTGTAAACAGTATAATGAGAGGTACAAAATAGATATAACTACATAATAAATATAAATAACAATGTATTTTAAATTTATATAAACACCTATATATTTTATATTTAATATCTATAAATTTATATTTTATAAAATGTGTAATTTGTATATTACTGTATAAGATATACATTATACATAAAATATAAATATCACATAATAGAAAAATTGTATTACACACACTCTTAAATAAACCTTCCCTGCTGCCTGGGGGAGCTCCGATGGCATCGAAAGCTCAAACCCAGAGGCGCTGCCGGCCGCCTGTGCACCCAGCACCGGGCGCTGTGAGCACAGAGTACAGACAGACCGGCCTCGCGCGGCGCAGTCTGGGGACGGAGAGGAAACGGAAAGCGCTAGTGCAGCGAGCCCACGCGGGGACCGGGAACAGCCATGCAGCCCCAGAGGAGTTAGTTAAGCTTTCTGAACCTCAATTTCCTTTTCTGAGAAATGATTCCAAAACAGCAACCTTCAACATCACCAACAGCGGACCATCCCTCCCCTCCCTCAGCAGCGCGGGCCTACGTGGGCCCTGGCTTTCCGTTCATGGCCGGCCGAGTCCCTGCCTGGCTGAAAACGAGAGCAAGACCACTGGACTGATGGTCAGGTGTTAGGAGAAAGGAACACACTGACCGAACGTGTAAGAATGCCTGCATCGAAATACCTCGCATTAGGGCACCGCCTGGCGTTTAGCTTCTCCGACCGGCCACACTCCGCGCAGGGGCGGGGCGCGCCGTTCAGGCTGTAAACAGCTAAGCGGTGAGACAAAGGGAAGGGGTCGCAGAAGGCAGCGACGGGCACTCAGAGGGGACAGTGCCGGCGCCAGGCTGAATTTCTGATGCAGGTCACACTCAGAGCCTGGTTTTCTTAGAATCTGTGTTGAAAAAAAAGGCTTTGGGTGGAACAAACAGGCTCGCTGCAAAGACTAAAGAAATCCTGTGCGTACACACAGCAGGTGCTGGGGGCTGTGCCTTCCTTCCCTCCCCTCTGACCTCAAGCTGGACCCGTAACCCCAGCCAAGCCCCGGCCCTCTCCCAGGCCACGCCCACTCAGCGACCAGCAGTGCCAGCTCTGCGTAGCCACACCGCCCTGAGCCCTGGTTTGGCGGAACCAGTCTAGTTCAGGCTTCCATTCCCCCTCATGTGGCCGCCCTGGCTGATCCTTGGCTTCCTCCTGGTACCACGTCTTCCTTCACAGCCCACCCACCCAAGGGGAGGTTTAAGGAATATTTGACAGAGCAGCGATTTTCAAAGTTGTCATCTCACGGCATTCTGCGGCTCACCAAAAGAGATTTTTTGCCGGTCTGACCAAAACAATAGGCATTTTGATTCATTCACACGGGATGGCCGGTGTTGTGTTGGCGGCTGCCGTTTTTTGTATTTGGCAGTCTAAGGGGAAGGGGTCAGCGCCCCGACTCGGCACTCAGGTAGGGCGTGTTTTAGGACTTCTCGCAGCTCCGGTTGGAGATCGCTGCTCCGGCGGAGCGGGCTTTCAGCTGCGCTTTGAGGACCCAGTCGAAGCTGGGAAGCGGGAAGGACCGGTACGAGCCCCAGCAGCATGGGGACAGGCCCATGAGGCTGGGCAGTGGCAGAGGACAGACTGCGCGGGCCGCACCCCTCACAGAACGGGAATCTGGGTCTGCAGTCTCCTGGTCTCCTCCGCGCCACCGAATCGAGACCGTTGCTCTTTCAGAACCGCCGCCGCCCTCCCACAGGGTCGCAAACATCCGGAAGCCCCCACGGGGGTCTGATTCCCTCTGTCCACCAGATTCCACAGCCATGAAGTGCCAGGCGACTAGGGACCAGCTTGACCGCTTCTGTCCTCATTTGCGAAGCCTCCCCCATCCCACTTTGTGTCACCTGCTGCCTGGTCTCCCTCAGCTGTCCCACCACACCTGCCCCTGGCAGGAGACCCTCACAGTCGGCTCCCATTTCAGGGGCACGGTCTCCATCCTGCTCGCCTCTGTCCCGTCCCCAGGTCTGGGGCAGGAGCTCTGTCATAATTATTGAGGGGAACGAAGGCAGAGGAAGAGAGGCGGCGAGAGAAAGGGAAGGAAGGTGAGAGGGAAGAAGGGCCACCTTTCCTTGAACCCCGCACTCCAGAAAGGAAGACGAAACTTAGCCCTGAAGGACAGGGAGGCGCAGAAGGCTCAGAGGGAGGGCAGTTTTATCTGAAACGACCATTTTAGCAGCAAAATGCAGGACGAAGGGAGAGGGCATTTCCATTACCGCCCCAGCCTCCCAGAGCCCCCAGAAAAAACGGCCGCGGCGTTGAGTTCAGCTGTGTTAATCTTCCAAAGCCTCGTCGTTGGCATTTCTGCTTCGGGTCTCAGACACTGCTGGTATTCCTCGGCGTGTCTGTGCCTCTTAAAGATATAATTAAGCCTTTTTTTTCTCCTTTGAAAAATGCAGGCCCCCTCGGGCACTTCACCTTCCAGTCTCGTCTCTGCTTGGTAAATTGCAGCTGACGTGCGGGGCACCTGGGAGCCTGCACACAGAGCACACGGGTCCCGCGGGGGAGCTCCGTCACCTCTTGGGGTCTGTGGCTTGGACTCTGGGCCCCAGCAGCCATCCCCAGGCTCCTGTTGCTTCCGGCTGCCCTTGACCTCCGTCCATCAGTTTGAAAGGATGGAAATCAGCCACCGGGCTCTCTGTGGCCTGAGACACTTATTTCTAAAGGGACCTGGAGTCACAGCCGGGGGTTCCTGGGTTGGCTCCTCCCTGACCACCTGGGTGACCTTGCACAAGTCATCGTCTGTTCTCAGGCTCCGGCTCCAACTCGAAAGCCCTGTGATGCTGGCTGACACAGTCATGGCGTGAACAGAGCGGTCAGGGTATTTTAACGAAAAAGGTAAGTGATTCAGGAGACCGCCTGCCATCTCGTGCCCGTGAGAGTCAACTCTGCTTCTTCGAAGGTGTGAGTTAGGAAAGGCAGCAGTAAGGAAGCCACATGTTAACATCGTAGAAAGAGTCAGAAGCCACCACTACCTGAAATCAGGTCAGAGTTGACAGCTTTCTTGGTTCTCGCGTCTCCCTGCGCCATGTGAGGCCAGAGGCCAACGGCACGGTCTCTCTTGGTCACGTCTGTATTTCTCGTTTTGGGACCCGAGAGGTCCTTGGTCTTACTATGTACCTGACATGTAGGAGTTGCTCAACCAGTAGTTGAATAAATGAACGAGCTGATGATCAACGCATTAAGTACACTTTATAAGATTGAAAATTATCACCTGGAAATGAAAGTGTTGGGGAAGGGTGGACGACAGCCAAAGGTCACTGGGTTTTCAGTGCTCCCCACCGGGAGGGAGAAAGGCCGCCGATGGGCACCAAGCCCCCCTGCCTGGCCTAGGCAGCAGGCACGCAGAGCCACGAGCAGGGAGGAGGGTGGACCGTGGGCCTGCGGGGACAAGGTGCTGCAACGGCGGCCCTAGGAGCTCAGAGACCCACACGGTCTTGCTAAACTCAACCATGATGGCCAGCCAGGAAGCAGCGAACCGCTACGTGACCTCAGGGCACTGTCCTTGATAGAAACAACAATCCCTGCAGGTTCGGACCGAAGGCACAGACAAGCTACCAAGAACATGAAGAAATGCTGTCCGTCTTTTCAAAGCAAAACACTCAAGTACGGGCGGGCCCCAGGCACCCGCCACTGCCCTGTGAGGGCGTGACAGGCATGACCCTCCCTGAAGGGCAGGGCGGCTCTGGGCGCCGACGTCCAGGCCACACAGACACGGGGGCATGGATTCTGCCCAGAAGGGGCTAACCCCAAAGCCCCGCTCTGCACCCCGCTGCTTCTCCCGCCTCTCAGTGCAACGCGATGTGGGGGAACCTTCCAGAACACACTGCCCTGGGCCGAGTCCTCAATCCCAGCAACTGTGGTGG